GTAGTTAACTGAGTTTTAGTAGTAATCTTTGTGAAACTAGTATGAAACCACAATGAAGGATATTTTCAGCATTTTAAAGCGGACCGGCTCTAAATCTTCTGCCAGTCATTAGACTTTATTCGCAACCAGGAACAGTGGTTTACACGGACGATTGAAGAGATAGGACTTATGTTTTCACAAACATGAAAAGCTCACGGTGAGGTCGTACAGAAGTGGCCTTTTTCGGACTTAAAAACTGGTGCCCACACAAACAATGTGAGAGCTAATTGGTACAGACTGAGAAACTTCATAGAACATCTACAGATAAAATGATATGGAGTTGCATGGATGAGTTTATATATCCGTTACATCATGACATTGTAAATTACCCGATTGTTTTAAAATAAATTATTCCTATATACCAACAGTAGTCTCATGGTCTCTCAAGTCCAGCAGTATACTTCTGTAGTGGCATTGGACCATAACCACACTATCCTCAAAACTGAATACGAGATTACTCGGAAAATAGGTATTCAATATTTAACGCGAAGAAATACCTAACGATGGAGAAGGCGCGAATAATGAGTTGAATGGACTAGAGTTGATCGAACGGCATGGCCCGGCCATGCAGGCGTGGTATCTGCTGAATGTTACCTTATATCTTCTATTCATATTAAATATATTGTTCTTTCTCTAGCCTAACCTTGTTCTACATCATGTATTGGTAATTGATACGATACAGTGAGTTGGTGTAGTCGATGGTGTGATTTCCACGTAAGATCTTATAGATTAGGCAGTCATATCATGACAAACCTACAAATTTAGGATTAGGTCTATTATTAGAGCAGTACTAATATTATAGTAGATCATAATTCTACACTTCCACTCATTTCTGTTGTGCTGGAATCGCTCAGTCAGTCTGTAGAATTGAGGTCTGATTCGATAACAGTACACTGCTGTTGACTACTACAGCCCAACCCAAAATTGTAGATTTGTCATGATATGACTAGCAAATCCATATGATCTTAAGTGAAGGTTGCATCATAGTCCATACTGACACGCTCCATCATGACAATCAGAAATACTTTGTTACGAAACGTCAGAAAGTCTAATTTTCCTACTCACTTGGATATGACAAATATATTACTTATTTATTAGTAAAAATGATAACCACCAATGTAACCAATGTTTAGAGAATTAGGAAAACGTAGTCTTTTCATAAAAGGCTGATTCAGAAAAGCTTATTATCTAGCGCTAAGTGACATATTACCTACGTTAATACGGTGAAGTATCTAGTTAAGACTTGGACTGAGATTGCTTGTGCACATACAATAAGTTTACCCACATTACGGCGACTTACAACCCATATATGTACATGATTTCGACTGCAACGTGACGGGAATCCTAGAATATATGACTACTCTGTGTGAAGGTAACTAAAAAAAGATAGTAAGCAGCATAAACTTAGTACGAAATAGAATAATGAATTTATGAAAGTCGTCTAGGCCTTTTCTGCTCCTGTGCAGTGAATATTTGAAATATACAGTAGTTCAGCACGAAGTAAGTCGGAGGGAATTCAGACAATATACGGGGTATTATTAAATTCAATTCTTGGTTTAGCACAGCGCTGTAGACCGACCATATGTAGGTCCAAAAGTAATTTAGTTCAGATACATGGCATTGACAAAACGAAAAATCTAGACGAAATCTAGGGTTGCAGGAAATTCATAGTTCAAACTCACCGTAAATTTCTGGTACTCGTATACTCTTTTTGACTATGTAATTTAGCTAACTGTAAGTTAGACAAACGATGGTCGAGTAGGAAAAACACTGGAATGGATAGTTTCTGGTTGGAAATTGTGTGCATCGATTAGGAGGAAAGATGAATTTATAGTTGAGAGCTGAAATTTTCCTCCTTATACAAGTGTATAATTACAAGCGGATGGACGTCTATGTTGCCTCGTGGACATACTTACTAGTGGTTTATATTTTAACAGACAAATAACACAATAGCATTAACGTGTTAATGAACCACGATAGACGATTATAATAGTAGTTGATTGGTTAGTTCTATCGATTGAACCAATTATCTAAGTTTAAATACTAAACAACGTTGATATGAAGCAACAAGAGTTTACAGTAATTGATTGACATAAGCGACGACAAAAATGAAAAAGAATAATTACATAATGCAATAATAAAGGTTACAATTTTTGGTTACGTTATTCGAAGTCTTGCTCAACATTGCAGATCACCAAATTCGACAATTTCTGTCGAATGATTAGGGGCTTACTCGAGTTAGGCGGAAATAGTGTGACGGACCAGTTAACTTTGAAGTCACACATAGCGGTCAGCACCTAGTGTGGTGGCGAGTTTGACTATGGCTCAGTGACATTTAGTCGACAATACAGTTTCACTGAACTTTCCAGCACACCTGAATGCTAAAATAATGTACTACAATAACTACTTCTGAAAAATTGGCTTGTTGAAAGAAGCCATAAAATTTTCTGCAAAGTTTACGTTCGACTTTGGTGAACTGTAGTTGGTGCAAGCGCACACAAAAATGGCGAAATTTTGCTGTCCCACTTATTCAGAGAGTGTACAGGTTACTCATGACATTGAACTGTTACAAGCATACTTCACATATATTTAAACGCAATGCACTAAATATGACCACGAGTGTTCCTGAATTTGTTTAATCCCTACGCTAGTTAGAAGAGTTTATGGGAATGACCATACTTTGATCTTGTATTAATGCTCCGGAGGTATCGTACATCAATGATAGGTGAATCTGGAGAGTTTCCTGGTCTAGCACACCTTTTGAATATGAGCGCACACAATATGTGATTTGGACGCAACTTCAGGTCGTCTCTCTTTAGTCTTCAACACCGTTAAAAAGCATTTCTACCGGATGAACTGGATAGCCTAGTTGACTTAGCAATGGTCCAGAGGATTGCAGAGCCAAAAAATTAGACTTTGGAAATTGTCCCAAACACGGTTCTACTGTGAATAATTGTTGATGTATTGAGTTCAAAATTTTCGGGCTTTACACACATATATAAAGATCCATGGAAAAAGTGGCGTGGTATTTTCAGGATCGACGATTTAAGCTGACTTAACGATGAGCACGAGTAATCATTTAAATGACCTTCAGAAATTTACGATCCTATTTGGCACATTTGCATTAATGATTCATAGTGCAAGGACTAGATAGTATTCCTGAGACTTAGAATTAGGACTCATTTTATGACCTAGGATTCCTATTTGGTGTTAGGAACTAAGGCTCAGGCTGCAATCAGAATTATGGGTTCGGTTCGAGTTTTGTAGGCTTGTGAGCTACAGTTGTGACTTAGCACTGAAGTTAGGTACCTCAGTAACTTTGCCCGTACCCCATTCATGAATCTAAACATCACCCAACTTGTTACCTGCAACACTCAAATATATTTCCTTCGTCGATCACTGTCTTTACAGAACCATTCCACATGGAAACCCGGCTTTGATAATCAGTTTATTGTTCCCAAATTTATGAGTTCTGGAAGTCAATTTTCTGCATATTGCTGTCAAGTAACTAAAAGATTTATAATCACCTTTGCCTGAAAATTATTTCAAAATGATCACGGATATAGATGACTTCATAGAAAACTAGTTCAAAGTACCAACCCGACAACTTTAAGAGCAACATGTGGATTGAATGTTATTTAACTGGCTGGACAACGAGAAGATCGACCTTGTAAATTCTGTATGATCGTGAGAGAGACAATCATAACCCATTACTTTCACTGTCTTAAAAACTAAATTAGAATTCAAACGTACCACTTAAAATCCGTCAAGAATACTAATTATAATGCAGTTAGAATAGATATAGAAATGATAATTTAGAAGATCTAGTAGTTGAGGTAGGAAAATGGTACACATTTTTTCAGAATATCCCTCTCCAAACTTATATTTAGTGTCTGCGAACTCTTTAGTTGTATGTTTTTTTACTAGGAATGGACTAGTCACAACTGGTTACAAGGTCTAGTCACACGAGCATAGCGAAGGGCTTACATCAAGAAGACTTTCAATAACCGAATGGATCCCGTACCTTTCACAGCAAAAAGTGCATGAAATATCATCACTGTATCTCTCCGCAATTATCTTCTCGAAAACTGATACGTTTGATTCTGGAAGGGACAGTAATATAAATCAACTGGTTGCCTCATATATTTCGACTGTCCCATAAAAACACACTCACTGAGTGCATGTTGGCTTCAAGCATCTGATAGAGCTGACCATCAGATCGTATGCCACGAAACAAAAGTCGCTAATAATACTGGATGTCTTACGGAGGTGATAGCAGACCATTTATGGGACGTTCATAAGCCATTAGAGTTTACTTAAATTTATTTGACGGGTTTTCAGAAACAATTTTAGCGGCAAAAAGAATAACGATTGGACTCTTTCCCTCACTGCTCAATCACGATCTACATGATGTTGATTTTCGTGCGCTGGCGTATTCAGGTGATTTATGGATTCGGAAGATTTTGGAATGTAGCTATATCTTAATTTTTAACGACCTGGGTAGTGACATATGTTTGGTTGAGCGATAAGCTTTGCTCTCGTAATACGGATAAATCCAGGATGTTGATGTTGACCAATTGCGATACATTCACGATCTTCCTTCAGAGTGAGTTCAGTACTACACTTCCTATCAACCAGAAAGGTATGCGCATCGCCATATGCATCACATGATGTCTCTTCCATTGATACTTAACAATAAATAGTGAATACTTCTTTCTGATCCTTTCAAAAAATTATATAAAACAACCCCTGTCTCTATGTTAGACACCTCACAAGTATTCACGCTAGGCAATACTCAATATGAAACACTAAGCTACCGCAAAATCTCATGATATCTAATGACAGTGAAAATGTTTTTCACGCTGCAAAGTTAATTAGAATAATCTGTCAAATGTAATTCCTTTCTATGCAGAAAATCTTAACTGTATCATTGAATTTTGTTTTAATATTTTCAGTGTGCACTCACTATTGTGTAGTGCTTGTTTGTTTGAAACAATAGCAGGTTAACACCGCCCGTGAATTGTCACGCTAAGGATGGCTCCGACTGTGAAGGCAGTAACGGGGTGTAAAAAAGCTGTAATGTGCACTTTTGTCGCATTTTTATGTTTTTAGAAAGCTTTGGAATCCATTAATAGCTGCTTAGCTCTGGTGATGAAAAGTGGGAAATGTTCTATTGGCTTACGGCAAACTCTTCGTCTCTTGCGCAAAGGAGGAGCGAGATTAATAATTATTGCCAACAATGCTCCTCCATTAAGGTATGTTAGTTTGCTTTTGTCTGAGCCCAGTGAGGGTTACGAAGACGCATGAGATAACCTTTCTATTAGATATTTCTAACGGAATGTTGTTAAATCATATTTAGGAAAACTGAAATAGAATACTACGCGATGTTGTCGAAGACTGGTGTTCATCACTATAACGGAACCAACCGTGATCTTGGAACGGCGTGTGGAAAATACTACAGAGTAAGCACTCTAGCCATTGAAGATCCAGGTAAGATCTCCTTAATTCAGTATACATTTTCTAAGGTGATTCTGACATCATCCGTTCTGCGCCACACGAGGCGGAAACAAAGTCATAACTCAATAAATTTTCTACGAATCATGTCTTTTTTCTTAAGGTTGGTGACAAATAAATAATGTCGAATGTGTTTTACGATTTTCGAGATGGAAATTTCAGGTTCCGTTATTTTAAGCCCTACATAGATACATAATACCGTCATAGTAACCGCATTGTTCCGTCCTGTAAGGCTTCTAACAATTTTGATGTTGCTTTCTAGAGAAGTATCGCAACAATGTAGAGAGAAGTCCAATTTCTTTATGTTGGTCTGATCACGAATCACTAAATCTGGTCGAATTGTTCGACAAAAATGCGATTTATGACCTGGTAGTGCTACTTTTAGGTTGGTAGTTTTCCCCCTTTATTCCCTCAACTTTGTGGACACCAGTGTGAGAGGTTGGTTTAACTAACTGCTGGACATTCGAATCATGGTTTCTGAGGCCTTTTGCGTATTGTCCCCACAACATCGTCATGATTAAGATCTCAGTACAATTCTGCTGCTATGCGCATGGGCGGTCATTGATATCAATCTTATTCCGTGTGAAGCGATTGCGTCCCCGGTATATTAAAGGGGCGATCTGAAGTGCTGATAGGACGGGCGATCTAATCCTGAGTTAGATGAACTATTGTAGTGTAGCTGTGGGGTTGTGGGTGTCTGTTAGCTGCACGTGTTGCTACTGTCTTACACGTCATATGATATCCGACCACAAATTATACATGGTTTTGTAAACGGCAGCAGCTACCTATATTTAAGATCATTTGAGTTTCGCCTACTGATTAAGTCTAAGAGTCCTTTGCACGCACGAGCTATTCTGATAAAAACAAATCTAAGACTTGGCATCCGTTGGCTGTAGGGGCGATCGACAGTACACTTACTAAATGAATTATGTCTGTAATGTCAGGGTATGCATTGGTTGACGTTCTCACAAACAGGTTAAACACAATCAAAAGTGGAAGCTTTTGCATACAAATCATAGAAATGTAAAGGAATGTTGTTGCTAAGTAGTGCTTTTATACACAGAAGAAAAAATTTACTGTATGAAATTGGGACATATATTGTAAACAAAACCGAGAAGCATCAGATAGTATATAAAATCGCCGTCAAAAAACAGTCATCAGGTTAAGTTAGTATTAGCTGATAAGTTATATGGGGACATCCAAGTTTCTGTTTACGGCGTGTAACGTAGATATATGTGATATCCCTTCTAATGTAAAAGCCAAAAAGCTATTTCAGGTTCTGTTCATGTAGGTCTCAGAATAATGGTTACAGAATATGTACGGCAACGTCGACGTGCATCGATGAATATTCTCCAGGTTCTAACATTACTAACTGGCAATACTACCACTAACTTTAAGTGCTGTTGACTTTAGATTTAAGCTTTGAGGTAGTGTTTGAACTCCGAAACATTCTAAATGATAGTTCGAGTTTCCTGAGACAACACGACGTGCTTCTTGACATCCAGCATCTGGTACTATCGGTCTTCCACATGACGCACATCTTGGTGCGTAGCGTTTATGAAAATCAGTAAGGCAGTGTAGTCGACCATGAACATCAATGGTAAAAGGTCTGGAATCTAGTCTACCTGCGCATACCACACAGACGAAGCAGTTGGGATGATAGGGCATCCCAAGAGCGTGAACTACTCTATCACCTATAGGTCTATGACAGTTTGAACATGCTTCAACAGCCCCATCACGTACACAGGCTGGGCATAACAAACGTCTTAGATTGTGGTAGTAAGCATCTGACTTCAGCGGAGCAGCACAACGATAACATGTAAAACAAGCCACATGAAGTTTTACACCTAAAGCGCCTGTTAGAGCCACAACATTGTTTGTCGAAGCTAAACTGCCACTAAGTGTGCTACCTTCCGGTGGGACAAGTGAACGACGACATCGAAAACATATGTTTTGACCCGCAGTTGCATTGGTCATTGCGCTGGCAGTATCATTGGAATTACACATACTAGAAGCTGATTCAGTGGGGGAGTTTGTTGATGAGCTTCCAGTTGTCGAAGCAGAAGTGATTGCCGTTGCCAATGGACTGACTCGACCACCATTCACGTTCCCTCCAACAGTGGGAGTAAATCCTGAGTGCTGTTGCAAACGTCCAAACTGAGAGTTGAGACCACTCCCACGCCGTAAACTCCCAGCTATTAAGGGGAACAAAAAAACAGGTATATCACAAACAACATACGAATCCAACTACGAAGAACGTTACATTATGAGAACTGTTATGGTTGTAATTTCAAAGTTAAATACAAACATTCTGAGCAATCAATGCTGACAATTTTCCTTCCGTTTAAAGATTTCAAGTGAACTTTTATTTTAGCTGGTAATTTTGATTATTGAGAAATGATCACCTCTCTAGTATTTCATATTTACAGAAATTGTCCGTAAACCTGAATCTTAAGTTTTCTGTTTGCCTCTAATCTCAAGAGCGAGCATACCAGTTATAATGCACACTGTAGGTGTTTAGATAACATTCAAAGCGCTTTTTCAGTTGACATTTGATATCTTGTCCTTGGGATAAGTGGAGATCGCTAAGGTGGAAACATAAAACCACGTAGTTCATAACTTCAGCATTCCGAACTCAGATCAGTAAGTACTGATATGAAGACAAATACATTTTACTGACGAATCACAGCAGATATGAAATATTGATTAACCCCTTAAGACTAATTACTTGATAAGGTGAGACACTAATTACTGGGTTCCAAACTGTTTCGCTGCATTTCCCATCCGCTGAAAATATAATTTTAAAATGCTCTATCATTCCGAAAAAGTAAGAGTTGTCTTGAACAATACTGAAAGTTAGACTGAAATTCTGTAGCAATTAGTGAATCTACTCTGGGCTTCTCTTCTTTTAGAATTTTCAGAACTCTGATTTTGTTAACATTTTAATTGTCAATTCTAATCTTACGTAGCTTGTTAACTAATCTTATTACCTAATTTTTAGGGCACCGTTCCTGTTAATCATTTAATTTCGCAGCTAACCAAAACATCTATGTTTACAACCAATTTCAATTCCTATTCTTACTGTTATGTAACTACCTGTAAAAATTAAATGATCATAAAGAATCATCATAGTTATAAGTTTCCAAAATTCGTGTCACTAGTAATTATATTGTTGACGTGACTGACCACTATTTAATTGGTATTGAATTTCTACTCATTAGTAAAACCTATATGTTAGTGTAGAGCCCCTACAAACAACGAGTTGAAAAGCAATATTTCTTCGTTCGACCTGTGTTTTTGACTACCTAACAGTAAGAGGAGAGATTTCTTGGCACATTTAACCATATAATCATGGTGGAGAACGCTACATAATATCATTGATAAAAATCAAAAGGATACAAAATGCATATCTGTTTAGTTGGGACATAGTGTCTATAAGATTATCAAATGATCGAAATGTGATAGAATTCAGTTAAATTCTGGAGCTTGGAAAATAACCCATTTGGTTAAAGTATTTTTTAATGAACAAACAGAAGATGTATGTCCCCTATAAACAATAACGAAGATGTAAATTAGTCGCTTTTTACTGCTGAGTTTGAATTCTTATACAGAGGAACCACGAAGAAATTAAGATTATGGAACATATATTTTCTGCTTAAAACTAACTATCAGACTTAAAAGATTTAAGCGAAATCTACTGCAAGCTATTAAGTTTTAAAAACATCCATGGAGTGCATCCTTGACAAAGTCAAATGCTAGTGAATGATCGCAGATAAATTTCAGTCAGTCAGCTACAACGTAGGACCAGGCATATATATGCATCGGTCCAAGTTGCCATACCTCATTAACACAACAAGATGGACACCGGATTCATAAAAGTAGTTAATTCAGAGGTGGTAATATATAAAAGAAAGATTGCAATGAGGATACAGTACAGGAAGAAAGATATGAAGCGATTTTAATCTCTTAATTTAAGAGAAGATAGAGAGTGCATACACCGACGCCATTGTGATCGATTCTGAGTCATGTCACCAAGAGTCTCCAACCATTGGTTACGATAGTCACGCGAACCCCAACCAAGTAGACTGCATCTCCCAACACGGCTCAGACTAGAAGTTAGTGACTTCAAGCACTGATGCCACGTTTTGGTTTGGCCGCCCCTAACTTTCTTCCAACCATCTCCAATACCGGTTAGCATTGCACGTCGTAGTAATCGGTGTTCAGGCACACGTAACACGTGGCCCAACCATCTCAGTCGATGAAGATTAACAACCTCATCAACTGATTTTCCATCATTCCTTAATATTCTGCGTCTAACCTCACTATTACTTACCCGGTGATCCCAGCAGTATTTCTAAGGCATCTGTTATCAAATACTAGTAGCTTACTAGTATCCCCTACTCTTAATGGCCATGATTCGCTGCCGTAAATTAAAACAGAACGAAGTGACGCGCAGTATACTCGTCCTTTGATTGATAGACGTATATCTCGCCTTCGCCATAGGTGACGTAAGTTGGCAAAAGCCAAACGAGCTTTTCAAATCCGTGCTGAGATTTCGTCAGACACCAACCCATTAGGGCTGATCGGACTTCCAAGAAAAGTGAAGTTGTCGACGAGTTCGACTACTTCACTCCCTATCCTTAGTTCAGGTGCTGACGTAGTCCAGTCCGGAAGTAACAACTTGCATTTCGAGGGAGAGAAGCGCATTCCATCGAGGCTAGTATTTCAGACACTATATTAGTTAAACTAATCCCTCTATGGTTGTCACAGGATGATTTTAACCCTCTCTTATATATTGGGACGATAATTGATTGCGACCAGCCAGATGGGATAACGTCTAACTCCCAGATCTTAGCTAAAATATTAGTCAACCTAATCGCTACAATTGGACCACCATCCTTAAACACCTCTGGAGCCAACCCATCTGGACCAGCTGCCCTTCCTCATTTCAGATTAACTATAGCCTTTTGAACTTCTGCTAGAGTTGGGGGACCTATTTCAATGTTCCATTCACACTGTCTGGGAATGGAGGGTAGTAGTATAGTAGCTGAAGACCAGCTGAACTGTTCTCTGAAATGTTCCGCCCATCGTTCTAAACGTCTGGACTGGGAGCAGATGGGAGTGTCGTCTTTTTCCGAAATAGTCTGACTTACACTTGACCTATTAATTCCAGTTTCCTTTATTAGTCTGTAGAGCTGTCTTATGTTCCCTATAGCCGTCGCCTTTTCCATCTCTTTTGCTTTCGTTGCCCACCACTGCTCACGGTCGTTCCTTAGACTTTTGCTTAACCTAGATCTGATTTGTTGTCACTCTTCATCGTGATCAGAGCCTGATGGAATGAGTTTATGAGAACCCATCAGTGCAATAGACCTTGAAGAAATCCATTGGTTCTTTGTAACCTTGTGGTTTAA